GACTCTAATCGACGCTGGTCGACGCTCATTTGACGCTAAATCACCGATTACCAAACGCCAATCGACGCTAACGCACTCTAAAGACGGGATTACGAGGGTACACATGGCTCCCATGATTTGAAACCGAAGGAAAGTGTCCTCCTGGTGGCAGCTTCGTGCCCCCCCCCCCCCCCCCCCAGCCCCTCCTGTGCCCCCAGCCCCCCTGTCCTGGGGCCTGGGGGGGCGGAGCGTTAACCTCACCGCTGGAGGTGGGTCCGCTGGTGGTGGAGCCGTGCTCCATATCGGCCGCGCAAGTCGGAATTCCCAAACTCCCTCGGGCCACGACAACAATCATGGCGGGATGCTGTTTGGCCCTACTCTCAGCATCCTTGGGGGCCTCGCCGAGCCCCTGGACCGTCAAAAAAGACGACTCGGGATGGAAGAAGCCTGTCCCAGGGAATGGAAGGGGTCGAGACCTCCAGGGGCCCACGTCAGCAAAGAATCATGACGTTGGGGATCTGGGTTTTCCGAAACATCCGAGAATGTGCTCCTCCCAATCCGCGGCAACAGCCCTCTGGACCAGTTCCCAAGGGCACGGGCACTACGAGGATCTGAGACGCAAAGCTGGGCATGGACAGTCAAATGTGGACCTGGGATTCGGGGGCGAATGAATGGGGGGCGAGGAGGGGGGAGAAAGGTGCCTTTTTCAGTTCACGCAAGCCTCCTCCTGGACCCTACAGGGCCCCTTGAAGGGCCTGCATGGCCCCTTTTCGGCAGCCCTCGCTGCCCGCCCCCCCCCTGCTCGCCCCCCCAATACGCATTTTCCGAAGGAGAGCTGTTTCATCCCAGATCCAGGTTGGACTGCCCCATGGCCCAACGGCCACCCGGAGGCTGCAATTGGGGCAAGACGCCGAGACCGAAACACGAGCAAAAACACGCGGTGGTGGTGTCGCTCCACTTCCTCCCGTCCTGGGGAAACCAAGCGGTGTCGATACCCTTGCCGCTACTTCCCCGGAGCATTCTGACCAGAATTTCGAAGAGATTCCAGCCGTGGCGATGAAGGCTCTCCAGGACTAGCAGCGGTATCGGTACCTTTCCTCCTCCGGAAACTTGACCAAAAAAATCACGACGCGGTGGCGTCGCCCCTCCACCCCCCCACCTGCCCGGGGACGAGCGCCAGGCCAGCTGCGCCAGGGGAACGAAGCCGCGGCCTGAGGGAACAACAAAGATGTCGACACTGGTACTCCCTCTGGTCCTCTCCCCGGGCGCGTTCGGACCAGGACTTCGAAGTGAGTCTGGCCGTGGCGACGAGGGAACGGTAGCATTTGTGGGCTCCCGAAAAGGGTCCGGAGAAAAGATCGTACGAAGCCAAGCTGCGAGAAGGATCCAAACCCGACAGCGGCCGCTGTTGGACAAGCGCCTTTCTGTCTCAATTAGAGAACGTCCACGGCGACACCGACAACTGCTGTCGGTCTGGTCGACGCACTTCGTTCCACACCCATGTCGATCCTGCAAACCTAGGGCCGCGGCCACGCGGGATGGGGAACGCTGAACAAGGAACGAATATGCTTTTCTGGTCGCGGGCAACCTCGCCCACGAACAAGCTCCAAGACAGAGGGACGGCCCAAAAGCAATAGCCGCATGTACATGCATACTTTATATAATATGCATATTATAGATATAAAAAGAAAGGGAGAGATACTGAGAGCGAGAGAAAGAGAACAAAACACAAACAAAACAGATACTGCATGAATCCCTGTTGGTCACGTGGTGACTGCCTGTGTCCAAGCTGGTCTGTTGTTGGGGCTGTTATCGGCGAGCTTGTTGGACTGCCAGTGGCCTTGCCTTGGCGTGGAATGCCGAAGTGCGCTATTGCCCTGATAACGGCTGCGAAGTCCGGATGTTGGCGAAGCATGACCATGCGATTCATAAGGTCCGCATTGCTCGTCAATGCTGCTTGTAGACCATTGGGCGCGTCCGCCCCTGACGCTAGGCTCGGCCCAGTCCTTGGCTCACCGAATGCCATGGGCTCGAACCTAGTAGAGCCAGCGTTTGGCAATGGCCTTGCTGGCCCGAAACTCGTGGGAGGCCCTGCTGGTACATTGCTCAAGGCATCTGCCCACGGATCGAACCTACCGAAAACATCCGAAAAAAAAAAAAAAAAAAAAAAAAAAAAAAAAAAAAAAAAAAAAAAAAAAAAAAAAAAAAAAAAAACGTCGTTGGATAGCGGCATCATCTATGAGGATGAGCCTGCGTCGATTGGCAAGGCTGCTGGTGGCGCGGCGCATGGTGCGGCTGCATCAGCGGGTGTCCCCGCGTCCATCAGTAGGGTCGGAGGTTGGTGGGTGAGATCGAAGTGGAACGGAGAGCCCCCCCAACAGGGAAATCGATTTCGGTTTCGTGTTCGTGCCGCGCGTGCGGGCGAGGCAAAGCTGCGTGGGCGGGGGAGAAGAAATTCTCCTGTAGTTGGGCCGCGGCTGGACCAAAACGTTCTCCGCCCGGCAACCGATCAACCGGTGGCGCGCGGTGTCCCGCTGGTGTCGAGCTGGTGTCCCGCTGGTGTCCCGCTGGTGTCCCGCCGGTGTCCCGTCGTGGCTGGGCCGCGGCCAAACCAAAGGTTCTCCGCCTGGCAACCAGTGGCGCGCGGTATCCCGCTGGTGTCCTGCTGGTGTCCCGCTGGTGTCCCGCCGGTGTCCCGTTGGTGTCCCGTGGTGTTCCGCGGTGAGATCGACAATGATATCGATAGTGAGATCGATAGCGAAATCGATAGTGAGACCGATTGTGTAATCGATAGTGAGATCTATAGCGAGAGATCGATAATGAGATCTGTACTGAAATCGATGGTGATATCGATCGTGATATCCATAGTGAAATCGATCGAATGGGATCAATAGCGAGATCGATAGTGGAATCGATAATGCAATGAATAGTGACATCGGAAGCGAGATCGTCACCAAGGCTCCGAAGAGCGAGCGGCAACGCAACGATCTCCACTGGCATCGTCGGAACAACAACCACCACTGTTGCCCATTGCCGGCCCCCTCCCCCCTTCAACCTACTTATCACCCGCAGGGTGGTCGTATAGATAGATACCTATTTTCTATGTGCTCAGGTGAATTTTCTTCTGGGTCGAAATACCCAATGGGCGTGGCCACGCTAGCGCGCCGAATGAAGGCGTGCATTCTTCTGTACCGAGATACCCCATGGGCGTGGCCACCCCAACGCCGAATGGCGTTTCGGGCTCGAACCAGCTGCCCTGAACTGCGACATGTTCCATGTGTGCTGGCCAATCCCGTAGCTCATGGTACTCGTTATGAGACTACTGGGGATTGTGCCCGACATTTCTAAACTCATCTTCGGGCTTCAACGCCAAACGCATGAAGTACTTGGTCGGGATGATACCGTTGAAACCGTCCGACAAGACAATCTAGCTGGCAGAAGGCCTCGCCGTTGCTCCATCTTGCAATAGACGCGGGATATATATATATATATACACCTATATACGTGTATATATATATATATATATATATATGATAGGTTGGCGTCGGGCCTGAGGCCTGAAAAGATCTCGGGGCCCCCCGGCAAGCACGGGCATCCGCGCGCAATCTGCCTGCCGCGCCTGCCTTGTGGATTGTGCTTTGCGTGACAAGACGGCCCAGCATCGAGGATGCTGGGTAGGTACTCCCACATAGTTCCGCGCGTGGAGAACTGGGGGTCATTGTCAGTGAGGCCAGGAGCTCCGCCGCCAGCAGCTGTCACCGGTTCGCGCGCTGATTCTCGGCATCGCATGCCAGCAAGCGGGCGTCCATTTGTGGCGCTGACCCACAATGTTGGGACATATCACTTACCGCGCGTGCACTTCAGATGGGCGCGTGCCCTCCTAGCGCCCGAATAGTCCGTCACGCCGGCGACACGCAGGAGCAACAATGTTATGCATTCGCGGAGTCGGCCGCGCATCCACGCGGCAACTTTGTCGCAGCGATGACCACCCCAACTGTTGGCCATGAAATCCACGGCGGCCGCCCGTCTATAGGGGCAGCGTTTTCCTGAGCCCCCCGGGCGCGTCCACCCGCTTTCTTGCCCGGTATGCCGCCGCCCTGGACGCGCCCGCCCAGCGGCTCGGCAGGCGAAGCGGGCGCAGTGGGCCGCGCGCCCCCCCCCCCCCCCCCCCCCGCCCACGCCGCCACCGCGCTTCCACCTTCTCGCCCGCCGCCGGGGTCGATGCTGGCGCGGGCGCAGGAGCCTCAAACCCTGGAGCTACCAATGATCTGACCTGTCGCATTCAGCTTGCGCTGGCGGGGAACACTGGAAGCGCTGTCGTCGCTATAGCCACTGTCTCCACAATCATCGGCGGGGCAATCCTCCTGGCATCGGTAACGCAAGTCCGCGCTGTAGATCTTGGGGATGCGATCATCGCCCAATTCTCCTCATTGCTCTTGTTATTCCTGAGCTTCCGCGTCGGTCAATGGGATATAACAAGGGCGCGGCCGCCCATCCACCTATGCCATCACCGTGATCGGGGGCCCAGGGAGTCTGTCCACGACGAGGGCTGCGAGATGGGCGGTCAAGCGGGCAGTTGCCGCGATGCTGACTGTGAGCTGGGCGTGGGCGCATGCGGTATCCTCGGAGAGCCTTGATCAGATCCCCCTTGAATGCCCACTCTTCGCCACTGCCCTTGCCGCGGCGTTCTAACGACTGAGAGAGCGCGTGTCGCGTGTCAAGTCGCGGGCGCTTGCCTGAGGAACATTCGGCGGCGCGCTTCGAATCGGGGGCGCCCCCCCCCCCAAAAAAAAAAAAAACACTCGGCGCCGTCGATCAGAACCAGGGGGGGGGCCCCCCTCTCAACCCCCCCCATCGCGAGACCCCCCCCCCCCCCCCGCGCTGGCGGCGGCTGGCGGCCGCCGCAGCGCGAACGCAGCGACGACGACCAGAGAGGGCCCAGCGCAAATCGCCACATCGAGCCCTCGCATGCCCCTCAGACGCCCCCGAGACCCTGCAGACGAGACCTCCAGAGGCGCCCATCAGAACTCTGACCCTCTGCCAAAACACAATGGCGGGACAAGCCGAAGGCCGCGCCACCACCACCACCACCGCCACCGCTGCCACCGCCACCACCACAACCACCACCACAACCATCACCACCACCACCAAAAAACGCCACCACCACCAGCACCACCACAACCCACCACAACCCACCACAACCACCACCACAAACCACCACACCATTTACCACCACATTACCGCCACCGCCGCAAACACCACCATCACCACAACCCACTGCCAACACCACCACCACCACCACAAACCACCACGCCACCACCATCGCCACAACCACCACCACCACCACTACCACCACCAACACCGCCACACACCACCCACCACCACCACCACCAATACCAGCAGCAGCATCACCACCACCAACACCACAGCCCACCACCGCCACCACAAACCACCACGCCACCATCACGACCGCCGCCATCACCACCTCACCCCTCCACCACCACCACCACCACCACAACCAAACTACCGCACAAGCACCACCACCACAGCCATCACCGCCGCAACAGCTCACCACCACCACCACCACCAAAACAATCCACCACCACTACCACCAGCATCACCACAGTCTACCACACCACCACCACCACCGCGACAACCACCACCATAACTACCAGCAGCACGACCCGCCACCACCACCACCACCACAACCACCGCAAACCACCTCACCACCGCCACCACCGCCACTGCCACCACCACCAGTACCCCCGCCGCCGCCGCCCGCCACCAGCCGCCAGCCGCCGCCGACGCCGCCGCGAGAGGAGAAGTAGGGGGGGGCGTTTCGACCCCCCCTCCCCCTCCGTCGCGGGAGGGGGGCTTCGAATCCCCCCCGCCCCTCCATCCAGGGGGGGTAGGGGCGCGATTCCAATCTCCCCCCTCCAAGCGACCGCAGAACGCGTTCCTTCGGATGTTTTGATGATGTGGCCGATGCTTGAAAGACCGCTACCTCCCTTGAGGCAGTGCGCATGGACATGTTTGTCGCTCCAACAGGTAATGCGCGCCATCCTTTTGCCATCCTTACCCGTTGGATTAAACCTACCCCCCATTGCCCTTGCCTGTTGCATGCCTACGACATGCGCCTCTACCTTTGCCAACTACGAATGAACTTCAAAAACGTGTCGGTCAATCGAGCCAGATGGCCATGCCTTCGCCGTGCAATCTGCGGGCGCGTCTGCCACCTGCGCCGCGACCCTTCCTGCGTGGGGGGCGACGCGGCGCGCAGCTCGCCTGGGCCTCCTCACTGTGATTTTTTCTATTTCAACATGTGTCGCCGCCACTTTCTTTTGGCGTGATGATAGCCTGGACATAGGTATTGTGGAACTGCGTCGTCGCCGGCGGGTAGGTCTGACCCGTCGAGGTTCTCGGCGCAGGTAGAGGAGACCGCGTCGGTATCTGGTTGGCTGGGTGAGTCCCAGAGGGTACTCGCGTCAGGTGGCGTGTCGCTAGCCGCTGACGGCAAGCCCACGTTTGAGCCAGAGGCCGGTTCCTGGTTGTTGGCGCCTTGGCCTAGGAGCGTCGTGGACTCCGTGGGCTCTCTGTCATTCCAAATGCTGTTCGGCGATGTGTCGCTTACTTCGGCATGGTAAGTGCCAGCGCTGCGTTCGTTGAAGATGCTCCCGGTGTTCCCTGGGCAACGGCTCATGGGTTGGTCGCATCGTCGCTGGGCACGGGCCATCCAGTGGTTCAGTGGTTGCAGTAGCTGGGCTGCTCGGGATGCGCCAACCCCAAAGGCACGAAACACGGTCAGAGTAAGGATCTGGGAGTTGGGCATGTTGAAGCCTGATGACTCTGCTTCCAGTCTGGCCATCTCGACTCGGGCCAGGACTGAGTTGATACGCTCGCCTCTGTCGGCTCCGAGGTCGATTAGGACTGTCCCTGAAGTGAGCTGTCGCTCGCCCTCAAGGTTTTCACTCTGGTGTTTTTTAATATGTACATGGTGTATGTGACTCCATCGGCGTCTTCCCTGGAGTGTGACACCAGAAATGATGATGGCGGACGGCACCCTCATGGCTAGTGTCCTGGCCTGTCCCCGTAGGCCGCGCTGTAAAGCAGCTGCCTGTTGGGGTGAAATCAGATATCCCGCTCGCGACGTTAAGCCATGCGTGCACTTCGCGAACAACGTCGCGGAGAGGTACGTTGCCGACTGTAAGGTTATTGACCTTTGCGTCCTTGAGGAGCTTGCGCGCCTTCTTTAACGCAGGCGGATCTTTCCTCGAAGAAGTAGCAGGCGTCTTCGGGGCTCGAGGCGGCGCGGGTGCCCTCATCATCGGCGTCGTCGCAATCCCGATATTATTGGTAATCTGGGCCACGGCGGCCGTAAGTTCGTGCACCAGTTGAGCAAGTCGCGCCTCCTGGCGACGCCCCTTTCGTCGCTGTGGCTGCACTCTTGCCACCTCCTTGTCTGGGAACTCCGCCGGGGAGCGGATCCTCCGCGCGCTCAAAATCTAGAACGTCAGGATGCTGAACTGGTCCAACTAGATCAGCATGACGCAGGGCACCAAGATGCTGCAAGTCAAGAAATGGTAAAAAGGCTCGCTGTCATGGTCTGAGGAGACCTTCACAGCTGGCAAGGGGCCAGACCCAACCGCACCGAGGTACATGACGAAGAGGACCAGGAACGAGTCCAGGTAGACCAGGTGCAAGACGTAGTCGATGCCGTATCCACGGGCCTGCCCCGCCAGGGGTGCGGCCAACGCCAGTGCGAAGGCGGCGGTCGGCATCTGCGCTCATCGTTCGCGGGCGGTCGGGAGCGGAAGCGACTGGCGGGACTGGCCTCAACCACGGCGGGGTCTTGAGCCAAAATGGCTACGGACCGTCTTGGGGCGACCTTTGGAGCCTCTCGGGCCGTTTTGGGCCGTTCCTGGTCCGAAAAAGCATGAACCCCAAAAACCGGCAAAAACCAAGAAGACTAACCAATGTTTTTGCCCCTGGGGGCCCTCTCGGGGGCCCTCTTGAGGGCCCCTGGAGCCGTCTTGAGGCTCTCTCTCGGACCGCCTGGAGTCCATCTGGGGCTCGCTTTGGGCCGGTTCGGTGCTCTCCTGGGCCGTGTTGGGGCCCTCTTGGGCCGTCTTGGGGCCCCTGGGCCGCGTCATTCGCACAAGTACATGGAAACGGCCCCCGGGAGCCGACATGGAGCCGCTTCATTCGAAAAAAAATCAGGGCCATTTTGGGGCCCTTGGGCCGCGTCATTCGAATAAATACATGGAAACGGCCCCCGGGAGCCGACATGGAGCCGCTTCAGTCGAAAAAGGATCAGGGACGCGGCCCCCGGACCCCTCCCGAGAGGGCTCCGCCCCACAGGGGCGTCCTCACTCGTACCCCTGCTGGGCCGGCACGGGAGCGGAGAGAGCGCTGCAAGGACTTGCCCGAGATGGCTCGGGGCACCCTTCGCTCTTGGGGGTCTCGAAGTCGAGAGCTCGTAACGTCACCGCTCTCTGTTGGGAGCCCTGGTGGGTCGAGTCTTTCACGCTGCTGCTCGCTCTTGGGAGCCGTACTGTCAAGAGCTGTTTGCTTCACCGCGCTCTGGGAAGCCTTGGTGATAGCTCGGGGACCTCTTAGGGAGCCCTGAAGCCCTCTTGGGAGCATTTCTGGGCCCTCTTGGGGCTCTCTTGGGGCCGTCCTGGGGCCCTCTTGGGCCGTTTGGAAGCCCTCCTGGGGCCCTCTTGGACCGTTTTCAAGCCTTTTGGGGAGCCTCTTGGGCTGTCTTGGGACGATGTGTTGAGCCTCTTGAGCCGTTCTGGGCAGCGCTAAGCCCGAAAAGGCGAGACCCCGAGCAATGTTCAAACATCATCGAACCATAAATGATTTGTACCTCTCTGGGCCCCCTTTGGAAAGCCTCTTGCAGCCTTCACGGGGCGTCTCGGGGGCCTCTTGGACCGTCTTGAGGCCATAGTAAGCCATCTTGGAACGGTCTTGGACTGCCTCAGGGTCTCTTGGAGCGCTTTTGGACCGTCTTGAAGCCGTCTTGGACCTCTCTCGGGCCGTCTTGGGGGTATCTTGGGCCGTACTGGACGCCTCTTGGGCCGTCTTAGAGGCGCCTCATGGAGGGGAGGGCCTTTAGACCTATCTCCCCGCTGCTCCCCCCTCCCCTGGACCCTCCCCTAGAGGGCTTCGCCCCAACTCGACGTCATCACTCGTACCTCACTCTTTCCGTCACCTGCTTGGTACGGGGACGGAAAGCGCTCGTACTCTGTGAGGGCGCGAGATCACTTGCTGAACTTCTTGGGGCCCTCTTGGTGTTAAGACTGTGGTACGTCGTACAAGAACTGACAAGAAAACTTGCGAACATCCATGAATATGGCCTCTCCGGGCCTTCTTAGGGGTCATTTTGAAGCTCCTTTGAGCCGTCTTGGGGCGCTCTTGGGTCGTCCTGGGGCCATCTTGGGCCGTCTTGGGGGGCTTGGGCGCCCTCTTGAGGACCTCCTGTGGCTCTCTTGGGTCTCTCTTGGGAACCTTGTGGGGCCCTCAGGGGCATCTCTTGGGCCGTCGTGGGGCCTTCTTGGTCCGTTTTGGAGCCACCGTGCGAAAATTCAGCGATTTGATCTGGGAACACTCCCCCTTGTTATTTCTCCCAGCTGACGGATCGCGACGCTACGCGCACTTTCCGTCATCCGCCGCCCTCTGTGGCTTGCCACAGGGGTGCACGGCGTGCTAGATGTCTGACACGTTTTGTTTTTTGTTTGAATTCCCAGAAGGGTTTCGGCCCAGCCCGCAGGCCACCCGGAAGGCCGCCGAAGATCCAGCCCTCGTCGCCCAAATCTTCTCCCAGACGGCCAAGATGGCCTAGCATGACCTCCCAAATGCCTCCAAGACGAGCAAGATGGCCCCAATAGAGCCCAAAACGGCCTTCATGACGACCCTGAAGCGCCCCAAGAGGGCCCAAGACGACCCAGAAAAGCTCCCAAAACGGTTTCCGACGGCGTCAGACGGGCAAAGAGCGACGAAAAACGGCCACAGAGGTCACCAAGAAGCCCTCAAAAGCTCCCCGAAGGCCTCCAAGAGACCGCCAGCAAACTCCCAGGACGCTCCAAGAGTGACCCAAGAAACTCTCAAGAGGTCTCCCCGTCCGTCTCCTCATCCTCCTCTGTCCTCATTGTCCTCATTTTCCTCTTCCCCACGTGTGCCCTGAAGGGCTTCCACAACGGCTGGGAGAATGCATGGTCCAATCGTGTGGCCACGTTGTGCCCAAGCGTTTGGCCACATCGTCGCATCCAAAAAAAAAACCACGGGCGCCGGTGGCTCGCCGTAGGCATCTTCTATCAAAAACGAAGAGAAACCGCTTGGTGCTCATGATAATACATGCGTGGGCGGCCAAAAACAAGTCAGGAACGCCCCACATCCGCCACCGCGGTTGCAGAGATGTGTGTGTGTGTGTGCGTGTGCGTGTGCGTGTGCGTGTGCGTGTGCGTGTGCGTGTGCGTGTGCGTGTGCGTGTGCGTGTGCGTGTGTGCGTGCGTGCGTGCGTGTGTGTGTGTGTGTGTGTGTGTGTGTGTGTGTGTGTGTGTGTGTGTGTGTGTGTGTGTGTGTGTGTGTGTGTGTGCGTGCGTGCGTGCGTGCGTGCGTGCGTGCGTGCGTGTGTGTGTGTGTGTGTGTAAATGTTTGTAACTGTGTGTAAGTGTGTGTGTGTGTGTATGTGTGTGTGTGTGTGTCGGGCCTTTTTCGCTCCTTGCGAAGCAATGCTTGACGCCTCCCGACGCATCGAAACCAAAATGCGTTCATTTGTATGACCAAAGTCCCTGCACCTTTTTGGCCCCCCAAGCAGGAAATGAGCCCAAATAAGAGGTTTGGAGAGGGACGTTCGATGGATTATCCCCCCCCCTGGGCGACTGCCCGAGCGCGGTGGCGGAATCGCGCTGCAGCGCCCCTGGATATGCAGAGCCCGAGGCGATCCTTACTTCATCGCTTTGACTGCAGCGGCATCGTTGAATGTTCCTCCTGCGGCCGGCCTGGCACGAAGACGCGGTCCCGCAGCACGCGGAGCAGCCGCGCGCCGTCGAGCGGCGCGTCGCCAGCCAGCTGGGCCTCCTCGAGAGGCTGTCTACGGACAGCGAAACCCAAACCGACGGAAGACGTTGCCTGTGTGAACCAGAACACACACGACACCACCCCACCCTCGGCCCCACGGGGCTTGGCGTATACCAGCAAATTTGGTGCGGGTTTTTGCGTGGTCTTCGCTGCGGCCATCTATGGGCCGTAGCGCAAAAAGGAGGGCCGTAGGTGGGGTGGTGTCGTTTGTTTTATGGTCGGATGCGGTGTTGCGCGGCTCGAACTTCTGGGACAACTTCAAGAAGCTGCATGCGCACGGGGAAGAAATAACCTGGCGAAGGACCCAACCGCATGCAGTTGTGAATGCCGCCAATGTGAATATCAGATTCGCCCGCGCTCCCTTTGGGGCCGCGAACCGCGCGAGGGGCGTGCCGAAATGCGTGGCGGGGTACACAATGCGAGCAAAAACGGTCGGTATGAGTGCGAGAGATTGAGAGCGGGTGAGCCTGTGCGCGAGTAGCTCTGACTGTGAATGAGTCTGCGTGCGAATCAGTCGACGCGCATGAATGTCGACGCCCATGTCGGCACGCTCCTCACGAGGATCGCGCGCGCTTCCTTCTTTTTCATTCCCTTCCTCTTTGCCCGTGCGCGTCGACGTCCACGGCTGCAAGCGCGGCGCCGCGCGGAGCCCCCGCGACGCGCGCCGGTCGCCCAGAAGGGGTCCCAGCGACGCGCGCGGGCCGTCCGCTGCGCGGCGCAGAGACGGCTAGCTGGCTGGCTGATAGCGGGCAAGGCTGTGGCCGCGGGGCAGAGCGACGACGGGGGCGAGCGAGACTCTGGGCAGAGCGCGACGCGGCATTCCCGCGACGCGCGCCGGTCGCCCCGAGAGCGTCCCAGCGACGCGCGCGGGTCGCCCGCGCGCCAAACAGTCAGACCGTCCAGAGACGGCGAGGCCCGGGAGGGCCGCCCCTCAGCCTCGCGAGAAAACTCTGCGAAGCCCAGCTCCCCGGCGAGGGCCGGCGCCTCCGTTCTGCACCGCTTCGCGCGCGCAGCAAACTGCCCCTGCAGCTTCTGCAAGCCCTCCGGCGGCCCTGCCAGGAAGAACTCGATGCGCGGCGCTCGAATGAGCAGGAGGTCCTCGCGGCTCGTGGCGCGCGAGAGCAGCGTGTAGAGCTCCAGCCACTGGTCGCCCCCCGCCTAGTGGCGGCTGCAGTCCAGGATCGCGCCTGGGCGACGTCGGCCGAAGGAGCAGCGCGCCGGACAGCCGACGGCCCAGGGCGAGAGTCCACGTGGCCGAGAGAAGGTCTGGCTGCGGACTGCTCGCGCCCAACAGGTCTGGCCGTAAACTGCCCCAGAGCGCTGTTCCCTCGCCCCGTCGCCTTCGCGCATGGCGCGCCCCTGGCGCGCCGCCGCGGTGATGGCCCTGCCGCGCGAGGACGAGATGCCCTTCCTGGTGGCCTTGGAGGAACGGAAGGTGAACGGCTCCGACGCGCGAAGCTCGATGAACACCAGCAAGCCCGCGAGGTCCCCCGCGAGGCTGTCGTCGTGGCGCCTGAGGTCGGCCACGAGGGACGCGCTCGCGCGCTTCTCCATGCGCACCCAGAACCCTAGCGGCAAGCGCTTCAGATCGATCCTCTTCTCCCCGTCTCTCTCGGCCTTGTCGACGTCGTCCCGATTTCGAGGGCCCACGACGATGTGCGCGATCTGCCCCTCGGCACCCTTGACGAGTCCGCTC